AGGTTTAATATTATACGCAGCAGTAGTATTAAAACTAGATATCTTGTTTACAGCCAGCTAGTTAAGTTAGTTTATAATAAACCCTTTACTAGAGTACTTATAATATATAAATCGAGTTCTTTTATATTTCTAAACTATAAAGTACTATACTATTAAATTCTCGGGCTCTATAAATTCTATAGCAGTAGAGACAGGCAATAATAAAGTGCTGTAGCTGTTAAGCAACGTATTATTCGCGGATAATCTAGAAACTTAAAAATCCACGTAAGGTTACTTTATAAAGCTGTTTAATAGACTAATTATATAGTAGTTCTTTAAATAGAAAACTGTTATAATATCTATAACTAAAGCAGAGCTTTTATTGCTGTTATATACAGTAAGGGAGATAATAGGTCTATATAGGCTATTCGCACAGGTATAGTTTAATCTAGAATAATAACCTTATATCCTCTATAATAATTAGCAGACAGTAGGCCTAATCTAGAAAAAAAGGCTATAGTTAACCTTAAAACTAAAATACGTTAATATCTATAGCTTATAGCTAAGGCAGATCTATTAAAGTAGTAAAGTTATAGTCTAGTAGGTTTTAACTATAGGTATACCTTCGGATAGCTTTATAAAGCCCCTTTTAATAGAGAAACACACACACTTTATACGCTAACTAGGCCTAGTTAATATCTTATCGCGGATTAATCTAGGATGCGTATTAGAAGAGAATAGTTTATAAAACGTTTAGACCTTATCTAAAATAGAGTAAAATTTAAAAAGGTATATTGCAGACTAAGGTATTAGCTATAGAGGCCTAAGGTAAAAACTGTATTAATAAGCTTGCTATTAAAGCTATATAGAACGTCGGGCGGGGTAACCCGACTAATAAGAGACACTATATATATACAATTAATTATACTTTACTGCTTAATATTATTTCTAATCCTATTTTATCCCGTGCACACCTAAGTACGATAAAATACTTACTAATTATAGCTAGTATAAAACAACTCTATAAGTCTAATATAAGTATTATAGTGTAATTTATATATATTATCTAGTAAGCTAAGCTTATAGCTATAAGCGTGTGGCTAATCGGCGTTTTAGTACCCTACCTTATATAAGTTATCTAGTTAGGCACTATTAGCCTAGGCACGTGATTAGTTATAATAGTAAAAGGTACTTTTCTAATTTACTATAGCTTAAGCTAATAAAAGTATAGCCGAAGTAGGTCGGCTATACTCCCTGCTTATAGTAGCAATATTTACTACTAAGTCTTTTTAATTACCGTTAGATACTATATATATACTGTTAGCAGGGGCATATAATATATTATATATATTAGCCGGCACTGTATATTTAGCTTGCCTGCTGCTTATAGAAGCACCTTATAGAGTTTTTACTACAACTATTACCTCTAGTTATACCTGTATAATATATACTTACTAGGTATAACCTATTCCGCAATTTACTAGCTCCACCCTACTACTATAAGCAAGAAATAGATTTACTAACTTAGGATTTCTACTAGCTCTATTTACTATATAATCTTTTTTAGAATGCCCTAATAATAGTTATAAAAGTGTAATATAAATTAAAGTCTCTTTAAACTCCGATACCTATATTCTCTAGCTGCTACTAATTTAGAGTTCTAACCGATAGTACTATATATAGATATTAAGGGCCTAGGACCTGTACTTATAGCTGGGAGCATTTTTCTATTAGTAAAATAGCATTATTATTGCGGCCTTAAGCCTTGAATGTAAATGCTAGGTTGGCTATACTGGTTAGCGTGTCTGGATGCTCCTCCCTAAGCACCCTCTTTCTCGTCTCCATCACTTGCATAAACAGCTCTTCGGCCTCCTTCCACCGCCCTTAATTCCTGTACGTCGA